CTCATGCTGGTGTCTCTTTCTGTTCCTGCTACACGCAATGTTTTTAATTTATTAAGCCTATAATTTATTTTTACTCAGTAACGGATATGATTTAAAATGTAGCGAATTACAATTCTTTTTTTAAAACTTACTCAAGTAAAAGTAAAATGTAACGTGATGAAGTACAGATTTTAAAAACGACTTCAAAAGTATAAATATACAAAAAAAGCTACTCAATTACAGTAACATGAGTAAATGTAATTCATTACTTTCCACCTCTGCTAAATGCACATTACAATGGGATAGCTTCTTTTCATGTGCAACGCCTTGTTTAAACAAAGTAAGGCAAAGCGGATTAGAAAATAGCTTTTTAACCCCACTGACTTGCGTTCATTTTTTTTTTTGTTTTTCTAGGGACCCATGTGCCGACTGGAAAGGGAGGAGACTTAGGCTCCCTATAATTGACTTGCTTTGGCTGCCATCTTGAATTTGGTTGACTCCAAACATTGAGCAATCATTGATGCACATCTTATCATGAATCAGTGTTTGTTAAATTAAATTATGAGAATTAATGCACGCATACACACACACACACACACACACACACACACACACTATTAGAAAATTATGCTAATTTGATGTTGGATGATTCATCACTGACAGCCAAAGGTACTTTTAGTTAATATTTCTTTTATTTAAAAATGGAAAATAATGCTAGAGGACAGTTGGTAACTTCAAAAGCATTCATAAAATGTTAGACTCAGTAAAATGTCAATATTATCATGTATATTATTGCCATGAACTCAGAATAAGATTACTTGTGTAAAAGTCACAGTCAGCTAGAAATTTACCAATGTTTTCTTATATAAGTAAACATATCTGCTTCAGGAGCGTCTACGTGTTTTTGTGACATTCATGACTTTAGTTAGTTTTATGAGCCAAAGCAGCTGTGAGATTGTTATTGTGTGTATATAACTAAAGAGCTGATAACCTTGACTGATCTCTGCAATCTCAAAAGACACTTTTTTTTTCTATTTCTGATGTGATTTGCTGCTATGATACTTTATTAGGAGGAAAACAACTTAATGAATAATTTGGATGCATCTCCCCTTTGATTAAAAGGATGATGGTCTAGACGGTCGCTCCCCTTATAAATACCTCTCCTTTCATATTATTTTCCTGTCATCAAGTAGATAGTCAGTTTTCCTCTCTATAGGAACATCCCAACAAACATTGGTCTGACGCCGACGTGGTGTCCACGTCCAAAAATGGTCGCGGTAGGACGGCCCGAATTTGTAAAAAAAATTAATTAATTAACAGAGCATGTCTCAGAAATCCATTCAGATACATTTGTATGTGCCTACAGTTATTTGTATAATTATTATTTTGACAATTAGTTAAGTATAGTTCAACATAGCATTCCAGCAAATATTGGTCCGATGGCAACGCCGTGTCCACGGCCAAAAATAGTCGCGGTAGGACCCTACAAAACATTGGTCCGGCGGAGACATGGTGTCCACGGTCAAAAATGAGGACGGTCCAAATAAAAAAGAAAAGTTAACATAACATTTCCTAAAAATCCACTCAAATTTGTAGTTACATGTTTAATTGTTACGTGTAATTCACGTCCAGAAAAGACGTCGGTTCAACTTTCATTTTGGAACTGTTTTTCAACTATGATGGGACCGACGTTGTTTCACCGTTGATTAAACGTCCGAATGTTTGTTGGGATGCAGCAACTTTGGCGACACATTAAAGAGATTTGAGCAAAAAATCTTAAATCTTTTCAAAATAAAACAACACTGAAGATATTTTCTATTTTGGTGCAGACGTTTGCTGACCTCCTGACTCTACTTTTCATGTTATTATTACAAGGTTTGTTATTATCTCACTCATAAACAAGATTAACAAAACATGCCTGTACCACTGGCAGATTTGAGTCAGGTCACCAGGGGATGGTGTTGCCATGGCAACCCAGGGAAGAACACTATGATTCTATGAACTCAGGTGAAATAAACTTGCTTGCTGTCCTGCGGTGGTTTACTTCAGGTGACTGATGTCGCATTTGCTCAGAGATAGATTAGTCAGGGATCTTTTTAGCTTATCTTTACTTTGGTGTTGCAAACGCAACATCCCTTATAAAGAGCCACCAGTGTTGCCACAGTTACCTTGAAATCGTAATCTGATTACTGACTACTGATTACTCCTTCCAAAAGTGACTTAGTTACTTTACTGATTCATTCATTTAAAAAGTAACTAAGTTAGATTACGAGTTACTTTATTTGTTACGTTTAGCATTTACCAAAAACACTCTCCACTGCCTCAACATAAAAACTACAACTGGTTTTGCCAACACTCACTTTATTGCAAGTGTTTTTTAACAGTAATGTCAACAAAGTATCTTCTTACATTTTAAGTTGAACTTAAAACCTGATGCCTGACATAATGCATGTTTGTATAAAAATAAGATTAAAAAATAGTCTTTCTTGACCTCACTTAAAATAAATAGTATTCATAAAAAAAATAAATACACAGAGCCAGCACAGAGCAGGGTTTCCCCCAGTGCTTTATAAGCCTGGCAGGCCGCCAGGCTTTGCTTGTCCACCTGCCAGGCTAAGCGTCATGCCCCGCCCCCCTCCCAGACCCTATTGTGTCCGCTGACACGAACGGCGCAGCGAAACTAGAGCCCTCCATCAGCTGATACTGGTGAGAAACAGCAGCGGAATGTGTGTAACCCCCCCATCCCCGCTCTCATAGAGGAGCGCTGCAGGACACAGCGCGCGTCCCCCCCCCCCCCCCGACGGCCGAACCCGCCAGGCTTAACTCATTTTCTGGGGGAAACCCTGCAAAGTGTACAACGAACCTTAATATTTAACTAATCCAAACTCAAAATAGTGACGATATATTTCCAGCTAGAAAATGCACCTCTCTCTCCTCCCGCCATTGTTGCTCACACTGTAGTACGTCCCTAGCTGGCGCTGCTTGGTAGGTGAGAACAAAAACATCCCGTGAACTGTCGCATACGAGACCGTTCTATTGTTTGGTAAAGCAGTATACTGCTTCCCATGTACGTGGAAAGTCCGCGTTGATTGGGTAAATGCATTATGCATGGCTGATCTTGGCTCTGCCCCTGCCGTGTTAGTTTTCCGTTGCTCAGGATTTTCTTAAGCAGAAAAAATTCAGATTAAAGGACAAAATAACTCACAATGGCTTGAACAAGTAACTTTAATTTGTTTACTAATGTGGAAATAGTAACGCGGTAGATTAGTCATTACCAAGAAATGACTATATTAGAGTAACGTGCTACTTTGTAACGCGTTACTGGCATCACTGAGAGCCACATACATTTAAAAGGAACTTACTTCCAACACATAGTTGAATCCTTTTTGCTGTTTTTCACTTGTTGTTTTTAAATTTAAATAAAATGTGTTGTTTATTGTTAAAAATGCAAAACATTCAGTGTAGATTGTAACTAATACCTGACGGTACTTTACTTTTTGGACTTAAAGCCTAATGTCACTGTTTAAAGAGACTGATCTAAAATTCTTAATGGTTTCATTTGTTTGTTTTCTTATTCCTTTGTTCGTTCCTTGTTTCCTTACCCGAGGACACCTGCTTTAGTGACTGACTCAGACATTTAATGATGTTGACTTGATGTACCGCCACACAGCGCTGACTTGACACGATACATGATGGTTTGAAGCAATGCATTCTGGTCCGACATTCTTCCATCCTGCAGAATGTTGCTGTGGCACGCAGCTTTAAGAGCTTGTGGCAGTGAGGAGACTGTGCTTAGGGCAGCTGCTCTCCTCTGTGAGGCTCTGTCTGGTGTTTAGTTCACATCTGTTCTCTCTTATTGTTACCTCCCCTAAAGGGGGTGGTGTGTGTTTAGCGCCCTTCTTTGACAGCTCTTTATTCGTACATACGGACACTGGAGTCTTCATTTCCTGCAGAAACACTGTTAATGATTTTGTTGTCACTGAGGAAAAGAACAAATGCTGTCAGTTTTATTGTCTTTTCTTCCTCTTTGTGATGTGATTCTATAGCACACGCTTAAAAAAAGAGCTAAACACAAGTTTAACTTTGACTGTTTTCATTGATCATAAAGCTTGTTACTTAGTGCATTTGTATCAGAAAATAAAGATTTTATTAATTTTCACGGGTGTGTGGAGCAACTCATCTGATTTTAAGAAAAAGACCCACAACTGAAGGAAGACAGTCACTTTATGTGGAGGAGGTAGAGGAGAAGTCATCATAGCTCAGCTCCATATATATTAAGTTGTGTTAAAATACATTTAAAAATTAGTTTTATTCATATATATAAATACACACATTCACCTAATACATTAAGACAGGTCATGTGATCTAAACTGCTATCTTCACTAGTAAAGAAAAAACCATTTAGCGTTTTAATCCAATCTGAACAGTAAACCATGTCTTGCAGGTCGTGTGTCAAACCCATTGTATGAGATGTTGGGAAACTGCTAAAATCATTTTCAAAGTTTGACCCAATTGGTTTCATTTCATCACGTTTCACCATAAGATGACCTGAGTGGAAAACGTGTCATGAAAGGCAGCGGGTGACAGGCTTTGATTCAAGGAATGAAAGGCTTTTGAAATATGATTATTTTGAGCATATGTGTGTAATAATAATCCTATTACTGACAAAAGTGTGGACATTTAAATCCATCAGATTCTTAACTAATATGATAAAATAAATAAATACTCATCTGAAACAAAAACCTGTCACGTTAAAGTTTGTGTTTCTGTCTGTAAACCCGTTGCTGTTGCATTGATGAGTTAATTTTTGCCGTAGAAGAAAAATTCATCTGAGAAAAAACTTCCAGCTGTGATCAATTACTGCAGCCTGCCATCCGTCAAACTGGCAGCATAATTTTTTTTGTTTAAAGGCAAATTTTCTCACATTATTGGACTGATACATAATCATTTGAGTCCTCCTCTCTTTGTCGCCTCCCCCTCCACCCTAACATGTTTGGTCTTGGTCTGTCTGTCCGCCTCAGGGAACCTAGAGTACCATTTGAGACTTCACAGAGGAGAGAGGCCGTTTCCCTGCCTCGAGTGCAGCCAGGCTTTCACCCAGAAGCTTGATCTCCAGCGACACATGTTCTCCCACACCAAAGGGGGATTTCTCTGCAGCTTCTGTGGGAAGTCTCTGAGGGACCCCCACAGCCTGAGGTACCACGAGAGGCTGCACACTGGAGAGAGACCCTATTGCTGCTCTGTCTGCGGGAAAGGTGATAATCTGAAACGGAAAATGTAAAAAGAGAATCTATTTAGTTTGTAGAAGAGTTAAATAACAAGACAGTTTTCTACTTCATTCCATGAGGAATTTAGATCAGGCCAGGTTCCTCCTATAGGAAGACCGGTGCTCTTATCAGTGGAGCATGACGGCAAACTAAAGCTGCAGGATAAAAAGTCTTCAAACTGTTCAGTAAAAAGAACATTTTTCTATGTTCCTGAACAAAAACAGAGCTGTGAAAAAAAGATTGGTCCCCTTTTTGGTTTTAGTCCACACGTAACAGTTTCAGCTCATTTCATATTTATTTAAATTGCATATAATGGGATTTGAGTATAGTTGGAGGTACAGTGAGCTTTTAAAATGTGTGATATTTTGCTGTTTCATATATATATATATATATATATATATATATATATATATATATATATATATATATATATATGGACTGCCTGTCCAAAATAAGTTGCCACCTGGATTTAACTAAGCAAATAGGTTGGGGCTTCCTATTGGATAAGTACTGCATGGGTGATTATCTTTCAGCTGACAACATGTTATTTAACCCCAACTGGTGCAATGAGTTTCTTCTCATTTCTTAAACAACCATGTGGAAAGACACATCTGGTGGTCGTGGAAAAGATGTTAGTCTGTTTGAGAAGGGTCAGATCATCGGCATGCATCAGTCAGAGAAAACATCTAAGGAGATTGCAGATTGCATTTGTAGCAATACACCAGCTACACTGGGTTCACCCACACCACTCAGACCACACAGCTTGCAGGTTCAACTCTGTATTAGGCTCTCCTGGTCTGACCTACACACTCCTAGTGCTCGTCCCAGGTCTCAGGGCAATCAGACTCTTCTCCTGGTGATCGGCCTCAGGTGTGCTCCGCCACAGCATTATTAAATAATAACTAGAACTGCAAGCAGTTATCAACGGGTTCCAAGCCCCCAGCGCCAGTCGCCCACCCGCCCCGCCCTCAACTTCGCCGGTCCTCACGCGGTCCCGCCCCAAAAACACGTTCTCCCGCCGGCGTTCGTCAGCTCACTTCAACCGGCGCAATGAAAGTAACACTCAGGATACGTCATTAAACCTGCAAAGCCTATACACATATCTTTCAGAGGCATGGCTGACTCCTCAATCGTGATTACAATGGAATTCCACTGTTTCCTTATTAAAGAACGTGAAGATTTAATGAGTGAGGTTATCAAACAATGATCTATACATCAACGGAATATTACCAATAACATAAACACTTGATAATGTCTTTAGATTTAAAAGATTTTCAACAAAAACTATGAGTTTCATTTTGTGACTTACTGAACAAATGTTTTAAAAAATCATGAAAAATACATAAATCATCCTAAAATTACCAAAATATTCTCACATGGCAGTGTTAACATGCGGAATAATATGATGTTGTTTTTAAATCAGTAGACTCAAAGCTTTTTTGAAGAAAAATTGGGAAATATAACTATAAAGGTCACAACAAAAATAAAAATATTCATAAAAAAATAGTGCTACTTTCTAAAATTAGGAGAAAAATCTCAGATCACCATAGGTACATGTGGGATGTTATAAATGGCTTATATTTACTGTATACCTAAAAAGCTTTCTAACAAAAATTAATTACGTTGTTGTCCAAATATACAGAAAAACTGGTAAAAAGTTAAAAATTCATTAAAAATATACGCTTTTGTACAGAAATCTCAAAATATTCCCAGGTTGCCTCTGTGATGTGAGAATTCTTCTTATATTTTTGTTGGGGTCATAAATGTAAAACTGTACTTACAATAAAATAATACTTGCATTAGTGGCTGTAGACAAAAATATGTCCTATAATTAAACACTAGGGGGAGCTCAAATCAAGACGACATTTTTTTTTGTTTCATAACCCACCTAAGAGTGAACTTTGTGGCAAATTACAAGAAGATTGTGAGAACAGAATTTGCGCTACAATTGCTAGCCTAAAAACGTATTTTCGTAAATATAAAGCGCAAACCTCTTTGTGGAGCTGCGGCTTTCGTGACATAAGCTCTAGCCTATTCATTTAACACAATCTGGAAATCTTAGCCTCTTACATGCAAATAGTGATTTTTAGGAAATTTTTCAAATTTGAAATTTTAAATGATCATAAACCACGCCCACTTTGATCAATCATTACCATATTGATAATGTAGTCTTAAGACTTTATAGTGATGACAGCCACTAAGTTTCGTGCCGATCCATTTAGCCGGTTCAGCAGTATAATTTCTTCCCAGTTATAGCGCCCCCTATTGTTTAATCAAGTTGAAAACCAGGACATACACTTGAATTGACCTTAGGTATGACTGTTATGAACAGATTTGAAAAATGTCAAAATCTCTTGAAGTTACGCTAAAAAAACTTTTTCATTCCCAAAAAATTATTTAAAAAAATCATATTTAAAAAAATAAGCAAATTATCGAAAATCCCTTCACATCTTTTGGTCAGCCGCTCCTCCTCTCTTGTCAGGGAAAGTTTTGATGTGATTGAGTTTGACGGCCGGGAGGAGTTAACAAAAGTACGTTGGACTTACTATGCAAATTTCTACTAATTTGCATAAGTTTAAAACATTTTTTAAATTACTCATCTAAATTTGACTGACTCAAAGAACACATTGGAATAGATCATTTGTTTTTTTACAAAAGAAATGGGGAGAAACATGCCAAAAATATTTTTGGGGTACCAGAGCGCCACCTATTGGACAAAATTCAAAAAATTTTCTGTGATTGTAGATGTCACGATGACTGATATGAATTGTAATTTTCTTTATAGAATATGTATTTTTCATGAGTAAAAGGGCGAAAATTTTTAAAGCCTATAAGCCACGCCCACTTTTTAATCATTTTCAAAATATAGCTTAAGGGTCCGACGATTAACATATGTGCCAAGTTCTGTGGAAATCCATCAAGCCGTTTAGCTGAAACAAACTTTTTGACTCTTTAGCGCCCCCTATTGGTGAATCCAAACAAAATGGGGTAGATAGGACTTACCGCTCATACTTTGTAAGGTTCTAGAGTCTCATCAATTTATTTTGAGAAATGGTGAAGATATCATCAATTAACACATGTGCTAGCTAGCGCACTGATTTTGACATGGTGTCATTAGACCAATTTTCAATATTTCTGCATTTTTCTTCATCACAACAACTTAGCCTAGTCCATAGATCACATGTACGAAGTTTGAAGTTGATTCGACGAAAAATGTCGAATAGGTGATTAAAACTAAGTTTTGCATTTTTTGCGATCTAGCAAAAAATCTAGTTAGGCGGAAATGGGCGTGGCCAATACAAAAAAGATGGAGAATCAATCAAGGATCATGTGCATATAAAGTTTTTGACTGTAGGACCTACGGTTTGGGAGCTAGTAGCTGAAACGTGTTGACCTCTGCAATAGCGCCACCTAGGTGACCCGGGGTCCAAATTTTCGAATCTGAGTAGCGGTCAGGATTTTCTATCAGACTGCCATGTCAGATTTTTCCTTGCAATTTCAGGCTCTTGCGCCCATACAGACACAGCGGAGAAGAATAATAATAATAAATAATAAATAATGAAAAATCCGTAGAAAAACAATAGGGTTCCCTGCCCTTTGGGCTTGGAACCCTAATAATAATAATAATACATTTTATTTCAAAGCGCCTTTCAGGACACCCGAGGTCACTTTACAGAAAACACGTAATTAAAGACTGATGAGTCCAGAGTGATGGTGCATCAGGGTAAGAAGAGAGGCATCATGCCGAGTGCCTACTGTACAAGCCTGTGGGGGCAGTGCTATGATCTGGGGTTGCTGCAGTTGTTCAGGTCTATGTTCTTCAACAGGATGCTGAATGGCCAGGTTATTCCATCTTCCCTGACGGCACGGGCATATTCCAAAATGACAACGCCAGGATTCGATGGGCTCCAGTAGTGAAAAAGTGGTTCAGGGAGCATGACGCATCATTTTTACATATGTATTGGCCACCACAGAGTCCAGACCTTAGCCACATCATTGGGATGTGCTGGAGAAGGCTTTGTGCAGCTCTACCATCATCAATACAAGGTTTTAGTGACACATTAATGCAACACTGGATGGAAATAAATCTTGTGACGTCTGCAGAAGCTTATCGAAACAACGCCACATCGGATATGTCGTAATCAAAAGTTCAAGGCAACAAACTATTAGAGTGACCTTTGTTTAATTTTATTGGGTTTTTTTTTTTGGGTGGAGACTTTTTTTTGTCCAGGCAGTGCACTTACACACATTTTTGTCTCTGACTTTGTTCTTTCATCCAATAATTAGGAGATTTGGAGCAGAAAAAAGTGCAGTTGAGACCAAATTTGGAAAAATAAGTTGATGAGGAGCCAGCCGGGTGCGTGAAACACATATTGGCCAACACACACACACACACACACACACACACACACACACACTCTCTCTCTCTCTCTCTCTCTCGCTCTCTCTCACTCGGCCGGCCTTGTTTATCTCCCCCAGAATGCTGCAGCTCTGTCCTTAATGCATGAAGGGAAAGCACAAAGTGCTGATTACACATATGTTCACATATTCTTTTCATGAAACGTTCTACATCGTAAACTTGCTTGCTGAGTTCACTAGTTCTATTATTGAAGAAGTTGAAGCCATTTAAAACATGTTTTGTTCAGAAACCACTGAGTTTATATTTCCGGAGTGTTGACATCAGAAATGTGTTTAATGTCTATAGACTGAAGCGATTTTGGAAGAGCCTCTGCAGTTAGTAAGTAATTATCAAGCATAACTAGTACTTCACCTAACATTACTTATAATATATTTGACTCAAAATGCTATAATTATTGTAGTGAACAGCTTATTTTCCATCTGCAGACAAACTGATGATTTTGTCCTTTTTTCATGAGGCATTTACAGTTAAGTGAAGATCTGAACGATCATAATAAAGAGTAATGTGGGGGAGACGCTAGTGAGTGCCAACAGTGTAGGATGTTGTGTTACGCCCCTGCCTGAAGCTTCTCTCACAAAAAGCAACAGTGTTTAGTTGTTTCTTAATTTAAATGTTTTTTTAAAGGATTACTTTTAGTATTAGAAGTGGGGCTGTGTGGGGTCGTTGTGGTCGGCCAGTATCTTCCCTGCAGTTCAGAGAGCCGGTGAGAATTTTCCTGAAGGAGACGAGCTGACTTCTAACCAGAGCAGGAACCATTCAAGAGAAACTTTCTACATCTAAAGCATAAAAACACCCACATGCAAATGCAAGACCTGCTGATCTGAAGGTTCAGAGTGTGTGTAGCTTCAGTAAAACAAGTCTCATCATGGCCACCATGTCTGTTTTATTTTCTCAGTAAGGAATCTTTGTCTCCTTTTATCATGAAGTGCTGCTCCTAAATTGTGCCTGCAGCTCTCTTTGTTGCTACCGTAGCGCCGCTGGATTTAAAGCTCAGTAACTCAAACATCACAGCATAGGAAACAAGATTCCTTTGTCGTGTTTTTAGTACTACATGCAGAGAAATCTATCCTGAACCATTTTTACACGGACTGTGCAAAACTAAAAAAACTTAGAAAATACTAAATTAACTAAATGTTTTAAGGGGAGACTAGGCAGTTATGGCTTGCTTTTAGCGTTCCTAGTGTCCCTTTAGTAGAACCCCTAAGCACAACTTATCTCCTCGCTGTGTGATTGTTTTTTTAACACCTTAATCTAACTGTTGAAATGTCTCCTCAGCCTTCATTAATATCGACAGTAGCGATTCACAAGTAAATCAAACAAATCAGCTCTGGTCATAATCTAAAACATGAAGGAAACTTGCTGGAAGCAGACTGCTGCACCAAGTATGTCAGCTCAACTTTTTTCTAAGTCCAACAGACTGGACTGGCAGTCCGAAGTTGCAAATTCGTTACAAGGCTCGGGATCACACGTGATTATTTGTTGCATTCTGGGATGTGGAAGACATGTTGATGACCTTACGAGTGTAAACAAACCGTGTGCTGCAGAGAAGAAGCAGATTTTGGAGAAAGGAAGCGTTAACATGTTAAAATCCCTAAACGGATGTGGGGAATATACAGGCATATGTTAAAGAGGAAAGCCAGGGACCAGTATTAGCATTATTAAGGGTTTGGATCCATATGAAAGACCCAAGACTAGAGCACCAACGACAACGTGTTGCCACTGTAGCTCTGCATAACAGACGTGTTCGGCCTACATGTTTGTGGTGTGAGCGGATGTAAACGTGCGGGTGAGACGTAAACGTTTCTTTTGCTTGTTTTCCTAGTAAAACGATCAAAATTGTCATCCTATAGAAGAAGTGTAGCAGGAGGAATTGTGTTGTGTCAGTGCGCCCGCATTAGCCTACCAGTGTGTGTGTGTTGTGTGTGCATGTTGCTGTTGAAGGAAAGACACGATGAGTAAAAAACATACACCATCTGTAACTTAAAAAAATGAAAATACTTCAGAAGGTGATGTTTAGTTGCTTTACAGTTGTGATCCAAGCGGGCCGACGAGACTCTGTTATAGATACTTGGTCTCCGTGAAAAGTTAGCTTGTTTTCCACCTTTTTCCCTGGCGATCACGTTACGCCCCACAACACAGCAACAATTTACCGTGGTTGCGTAATATAACCGATCCAATGAATAATAGAATAAATGAAGTCGCAAGACTGACAGTGAGCATGCTGGTGTCTGGAGTAACAGTTAAGGACTTGAAAGTCGCCAACATGGCAGCTGCGTCACTGATGACAACATAATCCCAAGCCCTATTCTGGCCACACAAGGCGGTGTCGGTCATTCACCCAGTAAAGGGTCATTTTAGCTCAAACTGGTTCAAGAAAATGATTTAACCCTTACCCAACATTAAAGCATTTGTTTGTGCTGACACATGTATTTTTGTGTATAACTTTGGCTATGTTAATGCAATTGATCTATTTTTGGGGAGGATGTGTATTTTTGAAGGAATTACTAAAAATAGTTAGAAAAAATCTTCGACTTCCTTTATTATAACGCATAATTTTTTTTGTAGCGTTAAGCATCTTTCTGCTTTTTTTTGCGCCATTGACTTCCATGTAAATCATATTTTTATGATAAGCATACATATTAGCATAATTTTTAAAAAATATTATTTTGTCTGTGTTCTCAGACCATTCATTCATTCATTCATTCGATGGTTAGTTTTTACCGTTTTCCAATAGATGGCGTATTTTCTCCATATATAGCAGGGCAATGACTGACACTGCATTTGAATTAAATGATTCTGCTGTATTTCTTTACTTCTGACTCCATTATAACACATATTTTGCAAAAAAATGGTTTGTGTGTTATTTAGAGATTCCATACAATAGTTTGCATGTGTGTGTTCTGAATTTTTGGTAATTGTGTTTTTACAGTGTGCCTTAAAAAATAAGCCTTTACTGAAAGTAGAAAATCTGCTCATTCTCAAAATGGCATTTTGACATGTGTCACTCTGTATGCTTGTGCAGGCATGCTTGCATGCCGGGATCAAAGCACTTTACAAATCTTCAAAAGACAGATCTGTGATCATTATTTAGAGTAGTTGTGCAGGTGTGGCAAGGGGAGTGTGTGTGGGGGGCGAGGTTCTCATGCACACTGTTGAAATCATGAATATTCATCAAATGCATGCTACATATAAAAACCAAAGGATTTTCTGCAAAATTTGAGTTACTCACAATTTTACTTTTGCAAACTGTTATTTCAACAAGCACAAAGCATTTGCATGGATGAAAATTAAGATGAAGGCTGAAAAACTTCAAAGGCATACATTTGTTTTGCAAAACAAATTCCTGCAGAGCTGAGTGTGTTTACATGGAGTTGGGGTCCGTTTACACAGGCGCACCAATTCACTAAAAGTGCATATGAGACTCGGATCCGGATTAATTTCTTTCTGCCACAAGCATGAGAAGAAGTTTCAACGCAGATCAACACCTGACCTCAGGATTCTCTGTCGGCCTCACACTTCCTTCGTCGAGGGATCACCCGCTTCCAGACGGCTTCGATTTATTTTTTTTAACAAGAACAATCCTTGATATAATAATTAAACACACTAATAATATAGAGGGGAGGAGAAAGTATGACAACTGGATGGATGTTGACGACGTGGAACTCCACGCATTTCTTGGGCTGCTCGTCCCCGCTGGGGGTGCTCCGTTCCTGGGGGAATTTACTAAAAGCCTCTGGGAGGAAACGGAGAGGCCGATTTTCAGAGCCACACTGAGCCTGCGAAGGTTCCATTTGCTGACGGCAACAGTTTGATGACCGCTTGAGGGCAGCACGCCGGTTGGTGCAGCAGTACAAGCTCGCTCCCCTCTGGGAGGTGTGGGACTTCCGGGTGGGCTGGCTCCCTCTTGCCTACAACCCCGGTGAAGATGTATGTGTGGATGAACAGCTCGTCGGATTCAGAGGTCGCTGCAACTTCCAAGTAGTATATGCCCTCAAAGCCGGCAAAATATGGCATCAAGCTGTGGGTGGTGTGCGATGTGGCCTCTTATGTCTGGGGGATTTTTCCCTACCTGGGCAAGATGACGCGAGACGCCCCGGCACAAAGGGAGCAAGGGAGGCGGGTGGTGCTGGAGCTCACCGAGCGACTGAGCAGCTGCACTGTCACCATGGACAGAGGCGGTTTTACCATTAGGCATAGGTAGGCGGTCACCTGGGGCCCCCTTGTGTTGGGGGGCCTCCTAGCCCTGACCGCCGGCACCCCTCTGTTAATGCCACAATATTCTTATTACCAACCTGTGGCCGCAGACGGGATTGGACATGCTTCTTGTTACCATAATTCCTGAACCGTTCAAGATATCACTAAAATTCAAAAAGTGCTGAAAAGATTAAAAATGGGGCTTTTCGTGCATATACAATACATTACGGTAGTCACCGGGATTCCGTCTTGAGCGCAACGAATCACAACACAGATTCAGAGACGTGCTGTTTGTCATCCAAAATGCTCCGTTTTATAACTATTGAATGGCTGATCAGATTCAAAAACTTCCAACGGTTCCTAAAAGTACATAAAAGCAGCTTTCCAACGATCTATAGCATGAAGCAATCAGAGTTATGGAAAATATCGCTACGAGGGGAAATCCTGCTGTACAGCCTGATTGAAACGGAGCGCAGCGCCGCGGTGAAAGCGGATAACGGAACGGGGAAGCTAATTAGCATAAAAACCAGCATGAAATTATGGAAATGCCTCAAAGAAAATCAACACGATCTATTAGGTGTCCCAGAAGGCTTATATCTGAAGACAGTGACCACGAAGAAGGACAGATCTCCAGTGAACCAGGGTATGAACGTTTGTTCATTCTTTATTTTTTTATTTGAACAAACCTCAACTATTTGCTAATTGTAAGATTCAGCTTCATTCTGTAGTGGCTGACTCGAGCTGAGCGAGAGTTGGAGATGTGGCGTGGCTTCTTAACCCAAGCGCGGAGTGACTGATGCCGGGTGGAGTGATCACGCTGTTTAATCTAGGAGCCGGGTGCGCAGCGGTATGAAGAAACAGCTGAGCACAGCGGCTCCCACAGCACAGGGCTGACTTCTAAGAGTTGTCAGGTCTCTTAGATCTGGCTGATCTGGTTTGCATAGGCTGAGTGATCTGAGACGATCTGGTCTAGACTCTGAGTTCGGTTCGGTGAGAACGATGACTGAGTGATTCGGCGTTGTGCGGCATTTCCTTAAGTAGACTTGGCGGGTGACGTGAACCGGAAGACTGGCACTGGGGATGTTGAGTAATGGAGTTCGGATGGTCTGAGCGGCTCTGCGGTTCCTCCCTTGAGGAGGTTGATGGTTGTGAGGGAGACTGCGTGACACATTCCAGCATTATTTATCTTTTTACAATAAATAATTACATTTGCTAAAACAAAAAGTTTTTGGTATAGCAGTGCACGTCTGCACCCCATGGCAGTGTGAGGTGTGCAGGACTCTGCCTGTAGCTGAAGAGAAACTGCTTCAAGGTCTACCACATCAAATAAAAACGTCAGAAAGTTTACAAAAATAAATGGTCCTAAAAACTGCTAAAAAAGATACCAAGGTTCAAACTTTTTTAAGAATAGATGCATTACAGATCAAAGTTTAAATTGTTCATTCCAAATTGTTCACCCAGTAATTTTGAAGTTCCTGTTCAGTAATAAATGTAAAAAAATTCTAATCCGTTTTTTGCTTTTCTCACTTTTAAGCTGATTTTTTAAAGGCTTTAATAGAAATAAATTCTAAATACAAACCATACACTGAAAGCTGAGGTTGTTCTGAAAAAAGAAGAGTTACACACACTTTGTACTTTTTATTACAATTTTACAGCCACAAGATTAAAAAAAAATACCAGGCGGCCCTGTTATAATTATGGTCATAAGAGGGTCATTAAGACGGCGATGCACAAACAGGAAGTGATTGGTAGTCATTCCACTCCAATCCAGTTGGTGGCGGTAATGCACCAAATGGTTGTTTGCCAAGTGCCATAAGACCACAAATAATAAGAAGAAGAGAGGTGGGAGCGTTCGTAACAAACTCAAAGCGATAGTCAAAACATTAAGCATGACATTAAGTTATCCTAGTGGCTCCAATAAGAGAAAGAAGCTGCATGTTTCATAAAAGCTTTTATTTTCACTTCTGAAAGTGACGTCGTTTCTCGATAAACATCAAAAGGAAGCAGAAAGGAAAGACAATGGAAAATGTTTAAAAGGAGGAAAACAAAGACCAAAATGGAAAATAGAAAAAAAAAAAAACAAAGGCAACAGCACAGGAGCACTGACAGGAAAAAGAAAGCAGAGCAAATATTGAAAGCACTCAAAAGGAGGGAAAAACAGGAAAAAAGAGGAGGACTAATAAAAAGGGAAAATAACTCATGTCAGAAGAGGGGAGAGTTTCGCAAATCCAGTTAAAGGTAAGATTGTTGAAAATTTTGTGTAAGGGGCCCCATGTCTGTGTTCGCCTTGGGCCCCCAAATTGCTAAATCCGCCTCTGACCACGGACAATTTTTTCACATCATTAGCCCTTGGAGAAGAGCTGCTCCAAAATAAAATGTGTCTTGTGGGAACAGTTAGGCGCAACAAGCCAGAGCTGCCACCACAGCTGCTCCAGATGAGAAGCAGAGCGGTTCTGTCCTCCCTCTTCGCCGTCATCTCCACCACCACCGCGGTGACCTACATACCGAAGCGCAGACGGGACGTTCTGCTCCTCAGCACCAAACACCATCGGGTTGAGATCCAGGAGGGATCGCAGCAGAAGCCGACTGTAATCCTTGATTACAACCACTGCAAAGGGGCTGTTGACAACTTGGACAAGGTAATTTATTTATTTTATTTTGTTTTATTATAATTCGCCAACCTAATTGCATATTTTATTTATTTATTCATTTATTTTAATTTCAGCTCGTCGCAACATACAGCTGCTGCAGATGAGAAGCAGAGCGGTTCTGTCCTCCCTCTTCGCCTTCACCTACTCCACCACCGCGGTGAACTACATACCGAAGCGCAGGCTTGCATGCACGCTTTGGCAGAAAATGTGGACAGGCAGTGTGCGAGGAGCACTTATCAGCTGAGTGCTTAACCTGCAGCTGTTAGCTCACTCCCCTCTGTGTTTCTCTCTCTCTCTCTCTCTCTCTCTCTCTCTCTCTCTCTCTCTCTCTCTCTCTCTCTCTCTCTCTCTCTCTCTCTCACACACACACACACACACACACACACACACACACACACACACACACACATGCACGCACGCACACACACACACTTTTTTTTGTTCATGTGCTTTAATAAAGTGTTCAACTGGCCATCTTTGTAAGTGCATTTTTTTGTGCTCAAAGGACTTTAACGTGTGTATTTTAGAAAATATGACATCAAACAAAAACTACAAAGTGAGCAAAAAATATTTTTACGCCTATTTGTGACACTCCAAGGCTGTGACAACTTACCCACAAAAGAGGTAATCTGGACATAACACACAAAAAATGATTTGATTTTTTCATTTTTTGTAGTTCTATTTCGTCTAGTCTTAGCCCTTAAGCTAGCTGCTATTGGAAGGATGATCTCCGCATCAGCCAATCATGAAGAGCTAAAATGTACGCCCACCAATAGTGGGCCCCCTCGTGGTATATAACCGCAGTGACCCCACTGCTCACCTCCTTTTTCTCTTCATGCCAAGCTTGAGAGCTTTATTAAAGAGCAAATATTATCCTAAAAAGAGCAACATTATGCGAAGACGACTTACCAGCCATGTCCAGCGATGCCAGACCCTGCCCGACCTGCCAGACGGGCTCCATTTCCAGCGGTGACCTGCATGCTAAGTGTGAGGTCTGTCTCGGGGCTCACCACGCTGGCCTGGCCTTGACCCCGCAGGCCTTGTGCCCGTTCTGTGCCGCTCTGCCCGTGGCGGAGAAGATTCGCCGGGTCGAGTACTTCACTCCCGCCGCCGACGAAGAATTTCCGGTCGCTGACTCGTACCCGCTGGACAAGGCTTTGTATTTCTTCGACGCCGGTCAGGAGCCGGCTGGCTTCAACCGGCTGGATGACGTCACCGACAGCGAAAACTACGATGAGGCGGCATCCCTCCTAGACATAACGGAGGTCGACGAGCTTCGCTCAGCGGGTCCTCCTGCCCCAGTGGCTTCTCGCTCCTCCCTGCCAGCAGTAAGAGCACTGCTCCAGGAGCTGCCCGCCATCACTTCTGCGGCAGCAGCCCGCAAGGGGCTAGCTGTGCCAGAACCGGCCCCGCCTGAAGCGGATGATTTGGCGGGAATTTTCGGGGCGACTCAGACACGCTGTCCAGACCCTATCTGGCCGCGCTTCCCCGCTGCTATGAGCTGCTGGTCTGCCGCCTTCTCCGAGCCTGCCAAGCTCAAGGCGCCAGTCTCCACGTATGCGCCCATCACCAAGGTCGAGGGGTTTTCCGACCAAGGCTGGCCGTCCATTCCTCCGCTAGAGCCGGACTTGGCCTCGCTTTTCGGCGCCAAGAACCACCTCGCTGGCCCGTGAGCTGTTCCCACTTCAAAACATGACCAGCGCCCTTCTTGCCTTCGGCGTCTCAAAGATGATGGAGGAGCTGGAAGCTCCCGAGGAGTCGAAAGCCGTCATTACTAAGACTGCTGATGCTATCCTCAATCTGTGTGCTGCTGTGCTCACCGGTTCTGCTCGCATCGCTGCCTGGCAGACCCTCATCCAGCGAGCGATCTGGCTGAAGGCCCTGCCCTCTATTCCGGAACATCTGCAAAGGGAGATGCTAGACGGCCCCATCACACCGATGTTCTGTTTGGTCCCCATCTTAGGGGCGTCATTGAGCGGGCTCAGAAGATGGCCGAACTATCGGCTATGGTGCGAGACCTGGTCCACCCTCGGTCAGCCTCGCACTCCGGCCGTTCAGCCAGAGGATGGGACAAATGGCGCGGAAGCTTCAGACTTCCAGCTGCACCGCCCGCTCCACGGAACCGGCCTCCTGCTTCGGCTCCACATCAGCGGGACCAGCGAGATGGCTTACAACGGTTCCGGCGGGGCCAGCAGACGCAGTCTTGGCAGTCCCAAGTGCAGGAGCCTCGCCGAAAGCAGCCACGGAAGTGACTCTTTGGGGGGAATGTGTGTGTTACTGATTGTTCTGATGTTGTTGTTGGTTTTGAAATAAAACCCAAAAAACGTCACTCAAAGAGCACAATCCTACAGTCCTCCGCAGAATCCTCTGCCGAGTTCTCACACATGTTCCCCACACCAAGCATTGCTGCACGCACACATGTTCCTGCAGGTACAGGCAGTCATAATACACGGCCAGCCGTAAGGGTGCGCTCCATTTGCGCTCCGGCCCCAGCATCCGGCCAGGCCCAACTCTTCCCGCTCTCCCCACACCGTTGGGTGGGGCGGGATGTCAGGTCGCTGTCTCGACCACGCGCGGCGGCACAGTGCGCGGCTCCATCCGCTGGCACTCTGTCGCCCCCGTGCACGGGCCCGGCTCCCACTCGTCCTTCACTCTCGGACTTCACGCTCCATGGTGTGGACCAGCCTGTTCCAGCTGTTTCGCACTCGCCCTTTCGAGCGCAGCCCTCCATGGGTCGCCCCCAGTTCTCTGGTACGGGCGACGGCGGTAAGGACGCATACACAACCCTCGGACGTTGTTCACGTGACCGCGCACACTCGTCCACTGTCGGAACGCGCGCACGAGTGGCGCCGCCTTTGTATCATGAGCAAATGGATTTCGGACACCATTCATTGCGGTCACACACTTCATTTTCAGGCCACTCCACCTCCCTTCAACAGGATCGTGGAGACGACGTTCACATCGCAAGTACAGTCTCAGGCGCTAGAGCTGGAGCTGCGGGAACTTCTGTCCAAGGACGCTATTTCCCGAGTCCCTCGCGGATGTAACGGAATCAAAGTGATGTCTCTATCTAAAGTTGTATTTTAATACACTGTAGGTAGTTCACTTTTTATAAACAGAAGAATAGGCTGTTTTTATCATCAGGGAGTTTAATTAAACACTCTGTATTGACTTTGAGACAAGAAAAGAGAGAGAGATGGGATCGTTTGAGAATCTTTAATTTCTGAATTATAAATTCTAAACAATCTACCAGGACTACTCTGTGATGGATGAGAATGGATTCGGATGTTGTGTTGGTGCGTGTGTGTGTGTGTGTGTGTGTGTCTGGTTCAGATTCTCTAGGCTGACGTCAATGAATCTGGTCGTCTTTGTTATGACTAGATATCACGAGGCTTATAAAGTGATGACATGAGCCGCTATTTTGCCATGTACGTACCCAGTGGGGGTCTCCCAGGTAGATCAGGAAATGCCAGGTCTGGAGACCTCGGATGTACGATGGAGCTGTCGGTGCAGCGATCACAACGTTTCAAAGCCCGTCTGGAGGGTCGACCCCGGTACCGTTCGGCGGCGTCAGCAGGTGCTCTTATTTTGAAAGTACGTCGTCTGGTTGTTAAACGACGAAAATCTCCCGCTTCACAGTTCTTAGTTTAAAGAAGAAAACACATCTGGCCAGGCTGCGCTTTCCTTTAGGATGATGGTGAATAGAACTGAAGTCAAAATGGAACTGACTTAAAAATGGCGTTGCCTTGTTTTATATCTCTGAATTGTTGATAAGTTTCAGTAAAGTGGATTGGACACTTGAAGTCAACACCAGATTCTCCTGCGGCAGCCGAAAGCTCTGATTGGTTGGAACAATGTGTCATGCGTTTCTATGGAGATGAGGATCAGTATGTCTGTGCCGTAGTCCTGTTTTCATTAAACATAATTCATGACATGTTTATTTCACAGATCATTCAATTGATTATTGTTGATCAACATCTGTTTTGCTTAATAATTTTAATCACAAATAAAGTACTTTGATTAAGTAAAGTTTCTTCTTCTCCTTCGGACTCTTCTCCTGGAATGTAAACAGTCTGAGGAACACCCGACCTTGGTTTTTCTACACGGTGTTATTGTGCACAGGGGGCAGCTGTATGGAGTTGAAAACCATGAACTTCATAACCTTACACGGACAAGAACTCTCGGGCTTCTACTCCCGCTACTTCGTAGTACCGAAGAAGTCGGGAGGAATGAGGCTGATTCTCGACCTGTCCCTGTTCAACTGCTCCATAGCAGTAATGCATTTCCGCATATTAACAATGAGACAAGTCCTGGAATACGTGCGCCCCGGGGATTGGTTCACGTCAATCGACCTGAAAGACGCATACTTCCACATACCAGTAGTTCCAAACCACCGGAAGTTTCTGCGTTTTTCGTTCAAGGGAGTTCAATATCAGTTCAATCGCCTCCCTTTCGGCTACTCGCTAGCCCCGCGCACCTTCTCCAAATGTCTGGAGACCGCGCTGCAGCCACTGCGCACGGAGGGAATGAGGGTCTTATTTTACCTGGACGATCTTCTCCTGTGCGCTCGGTCCAAGGACGAGGCGTCACAGCAAACCAGGAGGTTGACAGAGCATCTGTCAACCCTAGGGTTTTCTATAAACTGGGGGAAGAGCTCCATCCTTCCGTCCCAGTAGATTGTGTATCTCGGGGTGGAGCTGAACGCCTCCCTAATGAGAGCACGTTTGTCGCCTGCAAGAGCGTCAGATCTCTCCACGGTGATCTCCCGTGTACAACCCCGCAAGATCGTGAGAGCCCTGTTAGTCATGAAACTCCTGGGCATGATGTCCGCAGCCCATTCGGTGGTACCGCTAGGTTTGCTGCGCACGAGGCGCTTGCAACGCTGGTTCATCCGCCTCCGGGTACACCCGATACGTCAGAAGAGACGTATGTTGAGGATTCCCCCTTCAGTGGGCGGGGACCTCGCTCACTGGGGGAACCCCTGCATCCTCTCACGCGGGGTTCCCATCGGACGTCCTGCGTCACATGTATCTGTGTTTACGGATGCGTCACTGTCGGGGTGGGGGGGTGGGGGGGGGGGTGGGGGGGCACGTGCTTGTCCCATACGGTGGCAGATAGCTGGCCCTCCCACACGCACGAGCACATAAATGTGTTGGAGCTTATGACAGTGAGGAATGTGATCAGACACTTCGCCGCCCTTCTCGAGGGCCGTCATGTCGAAGTTCACACAGACAACCAGGTGGCGGCAGCCTACATAAATCGCCAAGGGGGAGTTCGATCCCTCCCACTGTTGCGTGTCGCCACAGATTTACTGTGTTGGACACATGTCCATCTGCTGTCCATCAGAGCCATCTACATTCCGGGGGTACTGAATGTAGCGGCGGACATCCTGTCGAGAGGGGGACCCCGCGACTCCGACTGGCGTCTGCATCCTGCACTGATATCACAGATCTGGATCAGGTTCGGGGAACCGTCTGTGGATCTGTTCGCGGCTCGCGAAAACGCTCAGTGTCGCCTGTGGTTTTCCCTGAGTCCCCGGGACGGACCCCTGCTCGGGGCGGACGCCTTCTCACACCAGCCCTGGCCTCGAATGCTTCTTTATGCGTTTCCACCAGTCCCTCTGATTCCCCGTCTCCTGGACCGAATTCGGTCGGAACAGCTCTCGGTGATTCTGGTGGCTCCCAGACGCTTGTCCGCGTCATGGTTTCCGGACCTGCAAGCGCGAGTGTCCGGCTCCCCGTGGAGGCTCCCGTGGAGGGCGGACGCCCTTCTCCAGGCGGATGGGATAATCAAACATCCTCCGGAAATAGGCCAACGGCTGTGGGTCTGGCCGCTGAGCGGTCACGCTTAGAGGCTTCTGGGCTGCCGCATGATGTGGTCGCCACGATTCAGAGTGTGCGGGCGCCCTCTACCATTGCGCCTTACGCTGCTAAATGGGCAGCTTTCCAGAAATGGTGCACAGAGCGAAATGTTCAAGCACTCTCCTGCCAGCTGGCGGATGTCCTATCGTTTCTGCAGATACTGATGGACAGGGGCCTCGCATTCAGCACTATTAAAACATATGCTGCAGCTATCTCATCCTGTCATCAGGGTTTTGGAGATAGATCTGTTTTCAATCATCCCCTCACAAAACGTTTTCTAAAAGGTGTCAGGAGGAACAGACCTGTGTCCCGCCCGCTTTTTCCCCAATGGGATCTAACGGTGGTTCTGCACGGCTTATCTAAAGCCCCGTTTGAGCCCTTGGACCAGGTCTCACTTACGTTCCTGTCGCTTAAAACTGCATTGCTGCTGGCGCTAGCATCAGTTAAGAGAGTGAGTGACCTGACCGCCCTCTCAGTGGCTCCCGCATGCCTCAGGATCCGGGAGGATGGCGGGTCTGCTGTTTTATGCCCCAACCCAGCCTTTGTGCCCAAAAGCATTAATGCTTCCTTCAAATCCAGGTGAATTTCATTGGCTGGACTTTTTCCTCCTCCCCATAATTCTGAGGAGGAGGCGGCTTCGCACCTTCTCTGCCCGGTGCGCGCGCTTGCACGATATGTGTCACGCACTTCAGGGATTCGTCGCTCACAAAACCTGTTTGTGCACTACAGGGAGTCTTCCCTTGGTCAGGCGCTGTCGGCCCAGCGTCTTTCACACTGGCTGTGTGATGCCATTTCCCTCGCTTACACATCATCAGGGCAGGATCCCCCTGAGGCACTCAGGGCTCACTCAGCCAGAGGGATTTCCTCTTCTATGGCGCTCCTCAGTGGTGTGTCAATGGAAGACATTTGTCAGGCTGCTTCATGGGCTTCACCCTGTTCCTTTACTCATTATTATTTACGAGATGTGTCTTCAGGTTCCATCACTCGTTCAGTGCTTGGACCCCAGCAGGCTAAATGAATGCTTATGGCACCTCATTGGCCTTGCTGAGATGGATTTCATCCTCTTGTGGATGATATTTTTTAGTGGGGCCCCCTCTTTTATCGTGGCTGCCTCAGTCTTTAAGCCTGGTCTGAGGCTGAACGTCCCCCACTAGAGGAGATTTGATTGGGTGTGTCCATTGGTTGTGTTAACCAGTGGGGCGTAAACCCATCCAGCTGCGCTTTATTCCAATAGCAGCTAGCTTAAGGGCTAAGACTAGACGAAATAGAACGTTGGTTACGTATTGTAACCCCAGATTCTGAGTCTAGTCGCAGCCCTTAAGCCACTGGCCCCACAGGTTATGATGGGAATAAGAGCCATTGGAGGTGAGCAGTGGGGTCACTGCGGTTATATACCACGAGGGGGCCCACTATTGGTGGGTGTACATTTTAGCTCTTCATGATTGGCTGATGCGGAGATCATCCTTCCAATAGCAGCTAGCTTAAGGGCTGCGACTAGACTCATAGAATCTGGGGTTACAATACGTAACCAACGTTTTCAAACTTCTGGTTTTGATAATAAACCTGGCAATAAAGGGGTTAAATCTGAGAAACACACATATTTTATTATATTTTGTTAGGGCTGAAGCCAAGGATTAAATTCATGTAAAAAAATGGGACTTATGAAATATTATATAATATTTCTATAGGAAGCTTTCTAAGTGCATTTTTTTGTGCTCAGAGGACATTAACGTTAGAAAATTTAAACGTTGGGTAAGGGTTAAATATATGAAAATGTTGCCAAGTATCCCTTTAACTTAAAAGGTAAAAAGTATATATTAGAAACATTAAAGTTGTGACAATTCTTAAGGTTAAAACTGAATATTTAGCATTCTAGGAGGGAAATATCAAGTAGCTTTCTTGCCTTTAATTAGAGTTTAGTATTTAGACAGATAAGTAAATGACATGCTGGTAGAAATATCCCTGACAGAATCCTTTTCTTTTCTGTTTAGGCTACACGCTGGCCACCAAACTGAGGAGACACATGAGGTCTTCCCATCTGAAAGAAAAGCCATACAGTTGCTCCTGCGGTGCTTCCTACACTGTGAAACAAAGTCTGCTGAGACACCAGGCACAGCACAGGATGGAGGCAGGAGGTCAGAAGGAGGTGGAAGGAGAACAGAGAGAGGAGGTAGACCAAAATGCTGAGCAGGAGCCAGAGGCTTTAAGCTGTAGTCACTCTAAACCGGTTCGAGGCAGACCAAAGAAAGGTCTGCGCCTTCAAGAGTCTGGGGGGAGGGGAGGAGGAGATGCTGAGCAGAGAAGAGAGCTAGGAGAAGATGAGATCATGAGTGTTGAAACAGCAACCAGAGGAGCAGAAGAGACTCCAGGCGACGTCCAGCACACTGTTGTCTACGTCCACTCAGATGACCTGTCTGCACCGACCTCCACTCCCCTGCTCCTAGATGCAGAGGACTTGCTGCCTGCAGGAACAGAGCCAGGGCTGGTGGAGGTGGTGATATCGGATGGCGTGGAGCAGTGCATCATGGTCCAGGGTCAGCAAATGGTGGGAGAGCTGCTGATCCTGCAGGAGGAAGAGGGTGGACTCTGCACTGTGGCTCAGACTGTTGAGATAAAAACAATATAACCAAAACCCTCAGCTGGAGCGTCTCAGGCCAGTGACTCAGTGAACCTCCCTTCTTCCAGCCTACCTCAACTACAGGTGTTGTGTTCATGGCAGGAAGGATTTAAAGTGGTTAAATGCTAATTTTACACAAAAATTCCAGCAAACAAAGATGGAACCTTGTTTTTATTTTATCATGCCTGTGTATGTTGCCAACACTCGACTCCGAAATTAGTTGATTTTTGTTGATGGGGAGAACTTACCTCGTCACATTCCTGTAAAAGTGCACTGAAAATATCCCAGCGTTACATCACTTCTTCAACATTTACCTGGTTATCTCCTGGAGGCAAAGGAATAGAATAAAACTTCAGTGAACTTCTGGAAAGTGGCTGACTGTGTGAGCGCAGACTCCAATAAAATCCAAAATAATACAGAAATGGGAAATCCTTCATTTCAAATTGTATTTTTTTTTATTTTTTGTAAAAGCAGTTTTCATAAGGAAACAAGGAGCAAAGGAACAGATGAAACAGTCTCAATACCCAAGCAAACTAACTTCCTGATTCTTTCCAAATTCAGAGTGTGAAAAGGTTTTTTGGTCCTGGTTAGGGATGTAAGAAAATGTCGATATGGCAATATGTCATTATAAATTTTCAAGCGATATATCTAGATTCAAAAGCCGTGTATCTAATTTTTTGGAAAAATTTACATGCATTTATGTATTTTCTTTTCTTTTGGTGCAATTCAAACACCAACCGCTAGATGGCAGCAGTGTGCAATGGGGTTTGTTTCCACCATTAATATGTAAATCCCTCTGTTATGGTTCAGATACCTGATGTTAAACATGTTACATATCAGTTTGGACTGTTTACCGAATATTCCTATGGAAAAATCAGTCTAAAGAATCGCTAATATCGACTGAATTTATGGCAATATATCGTGATACATTGTATCCTTTCCCTGTATTGTGATACTTATCGTATCGCCATACACATCCCTAGTCCTGGTGATCCACGGCACAAGTGTGGGAGGCAAAAAGGCTCATAACTCATGGATGTAAAGGCAAATGGGTTCAAATCGGTTTGTTCAAACACGATCTAGTGACTAATAAATGCTGGTACATACAAAAAAGCCCCATTATGTATAAAACAATAAAAACACATCTAGTATGGAACACTTTCACCTCTAATGCACGGGTTAGCTTTAGGTTGTTTATAATTGGTCATGCTGTGGTGGTGATGTGGTGCAATTGGGTCCTTTTTACAAAAGGCATAAACGGGGTATGGGGGCATAAACGGGGTATGGGGGCGGTCTCTGCACTGCTGCAGACTTCCGCTTAACTTGGACATAACTTGGGTTTTATTGCGATCGAAGCCACACTCATTAGGTTTTTTTTTGTTCTTTTTAACAAGCCGCTCCTTAAGGTGTCTGTCCCCCACAGTCCATGCAGTCACTGGTGATCTGACCTCCAGCTCTAACAGAGAGAAGCTCCAGGAGCGCTGCATCGCTCCAGATTATCATCTCAGCTGATTCTGTTCACAAAAACAAAACTTAGGCCTGTTTTTACTTTCATTTTAGTTGCCGCCCGGGGCTCGGCAGTAATGGTCCATTCCCTTCTGTACCGGGTCGGCCCGGGCCGGGTAGCCCCAGTCGGCCCCAGCCTGGCCAGGTTGATTCCACAAATCCTTGTCTTAAGCCCATGTGGGCTGATTCTACCCACCAATCAGAGGCTTGCTCTAATGCAGACCTGGGCATTTTACGGCCCGCGGGCCACATACGGCCCTTTGGTTGACTTTGACCGGCCCGCGTAAGGTTAATTGGAAATTACAAAATAAATGTATTTTCTCATTTTACCTCATGCATGGGCTAAGGCTGCATTGCTTTTATTTTGAAGTTGTTTTTTACGTGCACAATGACGCAATACGTATAGCAACAAGTGCCCGCGGTTGACAGGGTGATTGTAGCCCGAGAAATGTCCGCTCATGCAAAAAAAAAAAAGAAAGAAAGAAAGATGCCGAATGCAGGATTTTCAACAAAAATTGGACTGCTAAGTATTTTTTTTACTGAATTCGGAGGTAAAGCCGTGTGTTTGGTTTGCGGGGAGGAGATTGCCGTGTTTAAGGACTACAATTTGAGTCGGCATTACGACAAGAAACACTCGGAAAAATACAAGAACTCATCTGATGCTGAGAGGGCACGGACATCCGAAGCTTTGCTAGCAAAGTTGCAAAAGCAGCAAGGCTGTTTTACTAAGCTTCACACATCCAGGGATGCAGCAACCAGGACCAGCTTTGTGATATCCCACAAAACAGCTAAAGACAGCAAGCCGTTTTCAGAGGGAGAGTTTGTCAAAGAGTGCATGGTGGACTCTGCCGCACTAATATGCCCTGAAAAAAGGCGCATTTGAGCAAATCCCGCTGTCCAGGCGAACCGTGACCAGGAGGATCGAGGACATTGCGGGGAACCTGGAGCTTCAGCTGCAACGTGAAGTGGCAAGTTTTGACATTTTCTCATTAGACGAGAGCTGTGATGTCCACGACACAGCCCAGCTGCTCGTATTTGTCCGGGGGATAACGGAGCTCACAGAGGAGCGGGCAGCAATGCGGCCGATGAAAGGGACAAAGACAGGGAGCGATCTTTTTACAGAGGTAAATGCGTGCACGGACACTCTGGGATTGAAATGGGAGAGACTGTCAGGTGTCACAACAGACGGTTGTCCAAATCTTACAGGGAAAAATGTCGGACTTTTGAAACACATGCAAGATAAAGTGACAGAAATCGATGCAGATCAAAAATTGGTGTTTTTTGCATTGTATTATACACCAACATGTGTTTTGCAAGTCAGTGCTAAAAATCAACCATGTTACTGATGTTGTTACTAAAATAATAAACTTCATCAGGGCGCGGGCAATGGATCACAGACATTTTGTCGCTCTTTAGGAGGACTCCACACAGCTGTCAGATGGCTCAGCCTGGGGAAAGTGCTGAAGAGGGTTTGGGACTTGAAAGCAGAGATTCCGGATCTCTGCTGGATTTCTACTCTTCTCTTAAGGAGGAGCACTTTCCAAACCTGAAGAGACATGCTCAGAAGATGTTGGTTTTCTTCGGCTCTACCTACATTTGTGAACAAACATTTTCAATGATGAAGTTTACAAAATCCAGGTAAAGATCCTCTCTCACTGATGATCATTTGTCAGCTGTGCTTCGCATCTCCACCTCAGACATTCAACCTGACTGATGCACTCGTTAAAACCCAGCAGAGACTAGATTTCTCTCATTGAATAAGAAAAAAATCGCTTAAAAACACAAAATAAGGTGTTTGGACCACAAATGTAGGCAACTAGCAGTGAACTGGGACACTTTTTTTTAAACCTCTTTCTCAAGATCACAGTTCAGTGATTTTATTTTACAGACAATACTGTGTGTCTGTAGAACGCTAAGAACCTCTTTCCAACAATATTTGAAACTCAAAATGTGTTTTGGAGTGAATGTGACTAAAACTGTTAACTAATATAAGTCACAAATGTTTAACAAAAACCAAATGCACACTTTGTTTACCATTGCCTTGGGAAATTTGAATAAATCACATTTTTGTAAGCCAACCTCACTTTTTCCTTTTTGCTCATTTATAACATATAGTCTACTCTTACCAGCTTGAAAAAACAATGGTATTTACTGCTTTTTATAAAGAAATACCACTAATATTATGCATAATTGACTTCAGCCTTTTGGCCTGGCCCTCCACAATATTTTCTATTTCTCATGTGGCCCCATGGAAAAAATAATTGCCCACCCCTGCTCTAATGGAAGGTGGGAATTTGCTGTCAGCAGTGGGTGTGTTGGCCCTGGTCGGCCTGAAGCAGACCCCCTTGAGAAGAGGGTTGAGAATGAGGCTTGGTTGGCCCGGAAAAATACCAGGCCACCCAGATATGTAAACAACCTACGCTACCCGGCCCGGGCCGACCCGGTACAGATGGGAATGGCCCGTTACTCTCCACGTGATCATGACCCCATCCTTTGTTGCACCAAGGTACAATCGCCGATTATAAGACAGACAATTACCGCAATATTACTACCGAGCAAGGTGGAACAAATGCAGAAATTTCCGCGCAACGTCATGCCAGCATGGCGTGTTCATAAGACACACCCTTGTTGTAATATTACGCTGATTTGCCAGCACGGTGTGTAAAAAGGGCAACAGGCAGTGTTACAACAAAATGTCAGCACCAAAGCTGAATGTATTCATGTGCCCGAGACATTATTCTCACCTTATTTTTTCAATTTGAAAGGAGAAAAGTGTCCTCACTGCATTTTATTAAACACTCACAAAGGAATGAATTTAACCAGTGTGAAATGTGTCGCATTAATTCTTTTGTGCAAATGTAAATGTGAGCCTGGGATTCTCCAATTCCGATTGCTCTGTTGTCTCTTAAAAGAGAAACACTTTAACATGAAGTAAACCTTCTGGCTCTGAGCAGTGTAAAACTCCTTCTGCTGCATGACAACAAACACCTAAGCCCTCGATGCCAGATCTGTAAAATTAATCGGTCTGGTACAGTTAGGGGGATGTTGTTTTGAACTGTAATAGATTGCAAGAGTCCACTGGATCTTAGGTTTTATTTTTACAGTGTAATGAGCAGAAACAGGAGCCTTTCTCATGGATACTCTGCTTAGAAAAAAATGAAGGGGGGGGGGGGGGGGGGGGCGTTCACTTTCATTATGTTTTAAAGCACTCAGCCTGTAATTACAGTGTTTCTGTGTGAAGACTGGCCAGGGGACTCACATCTCGAGTTTTCCTTTATTTCCTCCCTTCTCTCTGCTCTCAAAGGAAAGAAAATGTCACCCAAGTTATGAAACTGTGAAGCAGAAATAAAATATTTACAGCTTCCCTTTGAAATCGTCCAGACTTGTGCTGCTTGCGTTCTTGTTATTGTGCATAAATTGTCTTTATACCTTAACCTTACTCTTCTTTTTTTTGTAGTTGAAACAATAAAAAAAAATTTGTTCAACCAGTTTACATCAAACAACACTTCAGTGGGAAAATATATTTTAAATGTATAAAAAACACAAATTCAATTTATTTATATAGCGCCAAGTCATGACCTGAGTTGTCCCAAGGCAGCAAACATTCCAATACAGGTCATTTCATTAGGCCAATCAGTAAAGTGTCCTATATAAGGAACCCAGCAGATTGCACCGAGTCACTGACTAGTGTCAAGAGTCTTTACAGCAATCCTTATACTAAGCAAGCATGCAGCGACAGTGGAGAGGAAAACTCCCTTTTAACAGGCAGAAACCTCCAGAGGATCCTGGCTCAGTATAAGCAGCCATCCTCCACGACTCAATCAATTTCCCTCTGGGATTAATAAAGTATTTTTGAATTTGACTCACTGGGGATCGAGAAGACAGAGCAGACACACACACGTTAAATAATTTCAGTAGCATAATTTTGTGGCTTACTGATCTTTGACAAAAGTCAAGAGCTCAAATTGAAAAGAGAACTGAGATTCAGATGGCTCACTCTGCAGAAACTCACTTATTATATGAACTCACTGATTCGTCTGTAGGGTCTCAACCAGCTGGCGTCTCACTCCAGCAGTCATCGGGTGAGAGACACCCAGGCCAGGTCTCCAGTCCATCACAGGGGCACGCAGAGACAAACAACTATTCACTCACACCTACAGGGACAGAGCAGGGGTATTCACTGGAGGGCCGGTAGCCAGCACATTTTAGTTTTAACTCTGCTTCAACACACCTGATTTTAATCAGCAGGTACTGAACAGGCTTCTGCAGAGCCTGATGAGCTGCTGCAGGTGATTCAACCACTGAATCTAGTGTGTTGGAGCAGAGAAACCACTAAAACATGTTGGATACTGGCCCTCCAGGACCGGATTTGAATACCCCAGGTTTAGAGTCTCCAATCTTCTCAACGTGCATGTTTTTGAAACTGGAGTAGAAAACCTGCAAATGCATGGGGAGAACCTTTCAACACCATGCAGAATGGTCACACATAGGATTCAAACCTGCAACCCTCTTACTGCAAGACAGTGCTACCACCTGTGCCAGCATGAAGCCCCTTGTGCAGAAAGAAAATATGATATACAGGTCCTTCTAAAAAAAATTTGCATATTGTGATGAAGTTCATTATTGTCTGTAATGTACTGATAAACATTAGACTTTCATATATATTAGATTCATTACACACAACTGAAGTAGTTCAAGCCTTTTATTGTTTCTAATATTGATGATTTTGGCACACTGTCACGATCCGCCCCTGCCCTCCTGACTCTCTCTCCTGCCCTGATTAGTCCGTATTGTTCTCACCTGTCCCTCGTTAACCTGTCCATGTTTTCCTAATTAGCCTTGTGTATTTATACCACCTGTTTTGCTCCTGTCCTTGGTCGGATCATTGTATGTGCATGTCTCGTTTTGTCCTGTTGCTCCCGTTGTTATTAAACCCATTTTTACTTTATCCGTGGCTGCTCTTCTGCCTCCGGAACCCACCACCACACTAGGTCCACCATCTCCACCCTCACAACATGACAGAATGATCCGACCAAACCTGGACCTGTGGTGAGCTAACACCTGTTTTCTGGAGGATTATTTTTTCTTTTTTTCCCCTTTTTAGCGGAGGGAGATTCCGGACTGGAGTTGTGTTTCTCGGCGCGTCCTACCTGTTCTCGGGGTGGTCGAGCCCTCTGGGTGATCCTGGCGCATCCTGTCAGTTTCCGGGGTGGTCAAGGTCTTTTCTCCTCCTGCTGTTCTGCCCCGTCCTGTTTTTTACGGAAGCTGCCGTTTCCTGGAGTTATTGATGGAGGTAAAACCCCCTACACACACCATCATTCTCCGGGGTGGTAGGGCTGGTCTTCCTGCTCCGTGGTCTGCTTCCCTTCACTCGAGCCTGCCTGTGGATCCTGTCGAGTCACGGTGTGCACCTGCTCAGAACTGTGGTC